TGTGTGTGTGTGTGTGTGTGTGTGTGCATGCATGCGCGCGCGGGGCGGGGGTCTGCCGCAGGTAACAGGAGAGGACGAGGAGAAGAGCGGGGGACTTATTTCTAATTTTATCTGACTTATTTAATTTAATTTATTGTTTTTATCGTCCTGCAGGCTCTGATGGGAGATTGATTTGACGCTGAGGTTTTTTATTTTTATTTTTTATAAAAATCGTTAGATTACTCTAAAGCAAATTGAGGGAAAATCTGTGTAAATCAAAGACATTCTGTTCTTGTGAGCAGCTGTCAGTCAGCACCTGTCAACCTCCAGACAGACGAAGGAGCGTGTCTGAACCAATCAGTTTTGTTGGCATTGATCAGCTGACTGATTTAAATCCATCTTAACATTCATGAGGTACTTTACATTGACTGTTTATGGTTGGGTGTGGGCGTGTAGAGGGTAGAACCTGAGGAGGACCTTATGGTTGAGTGTGGGCGTGTAGAGGGTAGAACCTGAGGAGGGACCTCGTGCGCAAACTCTGACGTGCGGCTGTGATTTATGAATGAAAGATGCGCAGAAACGTGCGTACATACGGTTTTATAAATCTGACATTTTTTTGGCGTACGCCATTTCCGCCTTTTGGCCGTACGTTCACTTTTAGTATGGTTTCCACGCAATCCTTTATAAATGAGACCCCAGGACATTTCACCAACACAGCACAAGATTAACCAATGGAGCTGGGCAATATGGACAGACAAAAAAAAATTTTTTTTGGACATATCTTGATATGCTATAGATATATCTCAATATTTTCCATGTAAAATAGAATACCACTGCGGCCCATGAAAAGGTTCTGGTAGAAGGACTGATATTAAAATGACTGTTAAGTGAAAGCAATGTGTACTGAAATTAAACATGCAGTGTTTTCCCTACCTTTATCTAAGCCCCTCCCCCTTTGTTTCTAGAATACGTTCCACAACTAAAGAATTTTGAGAACCTCTAATTAGGTACAATAATGTGCTGTACCCTGATGTGTCAGACACTAAAAAGATCCAAAACATTTCCTTTAAATTGATATTACAAAAAGTTCTCATTACATTAAAGTACAATTAAACTACATTATTTGCAGCTGACCAAATCGTGATGTGGAAGCAATTTCATTTAGATAATTTAATGTGGGTACCTATANGTCTTGTCCTCTCCTTGAAAAGTGAAGCAAGGGAATGAGGAGCAGCAGCCTTTGTGTGTGCATGCAGCCTCAGTTTTAGTCCAGAAGAGTAGAAGTTACTTCATATATTCATGTTTATGTGCTGTCCAGAAAAAACACTGAAATATTACTGGGAAAATTATATTAGCATTTACTTTTTATACAATAATATTGATATATAATATAATGCTTATTGTTTATTTAGTAAATTCTAGTTTAAAGATTTCGATTTTTTTGTAAAATTTAAAAGAATAATTAAATAAATGTTACTACACCCKAAAATATTTTTTTTCAGTGCAGCCTGCTTCACTGTTAGCTCAAGTCCTGCAGGAGAACCAGCAAGTCAACGAGTCACTTCAACACAAAATGTAATGAAGCCAGCTTGTTAAGTTGATGTGACGAACACAGGAGGGATTTGATCCTAATTGTTTCTTCTGTTTCACACAAAGTCTGTATCTGTATAAGAGACTTGCTGCAGCTTGAACCCAGAGACGTGCATACGTGCCACATGCCTCATCTGCTCTGCCTACACTTGCTTCACAGTTTTATCCACACGGTCCGTGTGATGTTCAGTGTCTGCCCGTCTGTTGTGTTTGGGTATCTGATAGCCCGTGTGAGGGCCAGTGGACATGTTCTGAGAGATCAAACACGCCCACAGAGCAGAGCCAAAACAGACCGGGGGCTCAGATATAACCAGTGACAGTTTACACTGTAACACCTTTCTAAATATGCCAGCTGAGGCAGCCAAACCCCATCAGACTGTTGTTTGGTGGTGTTAACATTTCATTATAACACACGTGCATATATCGACAATATCAGCACTACGGTGCAATAAATATGCACAGGAGGGAAACTCTGGCTGGTTGTTAAGAATGTGTTATGACTTCCATTGATTGATTATAGAAGCAAATCTAAAAATATATCTCTTTGTCCTTTGTGGTGTTACACTGTCAGATATTATTARGAGAACATTTTGTGACACAAGAACAATTACTGCTTGCAGCTATGAAAGGCAGGTGATCCTGTAATTACCTGCAGCTGAGTAATTCTGTCCTACTTCCTGCCTGTTAGCATAATAACCCATGAACCATAGGGTGAAACTTTAATGAAACTCTAAAAATACAAACAACAACTGACATCTACAGCTTGTTGACCTGATTTAAGATGGCTGCCATAATTAATCAACCTTTGAATACATAAAAATATAAAGTTTTATTGGTAACACTTTATAATAACTACACCTTATTCTGCCTTAATTATTAATAAAGGGTTACTA